CTCACCTCGTATCCCATCCAAATCCTCCTCTGAATTTGACCTTGAAACCTTTGTACATTGTGCCGTCAATTGCAGCAATGTCAGCTTGCACTACAATTACCGATTGACTGAATCCTCTCCTAAAAAGCTTCCGCCCAACCCTCACATATCTCCACGTGAGCTTTCCCTTCCGTCATTTCCTTTCCGTCCAATCTCGACCATATCAACCCTTCTGTACTTCGAATTATTCGAATTCTTAAATCCAGAATACTTAAATATTCCTGACAATCAGTCCCAAGATAGGACAAGATACTATAATATGATGTCTATACTTTGGTCTTTTGTGTGTTTTCAACATAATACTTAAGTGTGCATGAAGCCTACGCGACTTTTGAACATCAAGTGAATATCTAGTAAACGTATAAGCTTTCGCTGATTTCTCTTCCAACAGCGTGTCGATCATCCTGAAATGATAAAAGAATTAGTGTGAACTGCACAATGGCAGACACGTGTTGAACAATGCAGGAGTTCAGGATGTGTGTGAATAGCAATGTTTTGTTGAGAAGCAGTAGATGGAAGAAGATATTTAAGGCTTACTCGGGGAAAACACATGCCTATATCATCTCACATTACATCAAGTCCAGGAGCTTTTAAGGACATTTTCAACATGGTTATCAAGCCTTTGGCATATTTCGGTGGCTTGACCTCTGTTGTTGCCAGGTGAGTGTTATTGACGTTATTGCAAACCACTGCTACCATTATATTTTATACTGCCAGTGTTACATGCACTGTCATTGAATTTGTACTGCCACTCATGTAACTCATGTGGTGTATTTTGTATTGATTCGTAACCTATTTGTATAATACAATTGTACATTGTATATCACGTCTTTGTTGTTTGAATGCTTCACACTGTGAACCTATTTGTATAATACAATCGTACATTGTATATCACGTCTTTGTTTTTTGAATGCTTCACATTGTGAACCTATTTGTATAATACAATTGTATATTGTATATCACGCCTTTGTTGTGTAAATGCTTCACACTGTGAACCTATTTGTATAATACAATTGTACAATGTATATCACGTCTTTGTTGTTTGAATGCTTCACACTGTAAACCTATTTGTATAATGCAATTGTATATTGTATATCACGCCTTTGCTGTTTGAATGCTTCACACTTTGAACCTATTTTTATGATACAGTTGTACATTGTACATCAGGCCTTTGTTGTTTGAATGCTTCACACTGTAATACTATTTGTATAATACAGTTGTACATTGTACATCAGGCCTTTGTTGTTTGAATGCTTCACACTGTAATACTATTTGTATAATACAATTGTACATTGTATATCACGCCTTTGCTGTTCGAATGCTTCACACTGTGAACCTATTTGTATGATACAGTTGTACATTGTACATCACGCCTTTGTTGTTTGAATGCTTCACACTGTAATACTATTTGTATAATACAGTTGTACATTGGATATCACGCCTTTGCTGTTTGAATGCTTCACAAATTTCTAGTTTAACATATTTGAATCGACATGTAACAAAACTATGCAACGTGACAGTAGCAAATTCAAGCCTAAGGCATGTGCTATATATATCAGGCAGGAAGCCATACCAGACCGTGTTAATGTCGTGTTTATGCCGATTACTGCAGTCGATTTATGTTTTAGATCTAGTGCGCAATGACATTTACTTCCATTACGTGATCCATTCTTTTACCACCGTTAATCGATACAGGCTGTTTCAAGGGTCGATGAGCCGTGTTGTAGTTCAAACTATTGACTTGCTTTCACGAAAATGTGGTGTCTACCAATTAGTAATCAATTAGACAACAGGGAACTCACTAGCTACCTGCATATACATGCCAACTGCATCTTGTCAAATTGTATTCTCACACATTTAGGAACAGACAAAATACCACATGTTTGAAACTTGCACATGTTTGATACGTGGTATACTACGTGTTGATAACAACATGAAATTCTTTATTCTTGTGGCTTACGTTTCAAACATTAGATTGACCGTAATAGATAGAAAAGCAATTTAATTAAGTATATGGCTGTTGCGTTCCCTAACGTCACACATGTACTACACAATGTCGCTTACATTTGACAATGTAAATTGCAACACAAACATAGAACTTACACAAATAAAATGTGCAAAATGAATACCTTAATTGCACTAAATAAACAGGAAGCTTAATATTTCAGATAACTTTGATACCAAACTTAGCCCAAAAGAATACTTTTGAATTTGAATTCTAGTCCAATTTCCATAATCCAAGTTTAAACCTAAGTTACGAAGAATTATTTTATCAAATATGGTAGTAATTAAGGAAATGCATTTTCAAACAAATTCCCCTTAATGAATTGTCAAATAAGTGAATAAATTTGCCTTACCATTACTTTAGACCTCATTAACATTCTTCCCTGGCTCCAACATGTGCATTGCAGCACAAACTATATGGTGATTTGAACACTTCAGTTAGTGGTTATCTCCCTTCTTATTAAGGTTGACATAAAATTGGCACCTCATCAAAAATGAAATATAACATTCAAAACTATGAAATAGAATGAACCTTTAAACCGTTACAACTACTCAATAATGTATAATACTGTTGTAATATGAAAAGGACAAGTGGTGGAAGTAGTATTAGTTAGATCGTATATTTCCTTAACCAATTGAGCCATTATAACTGAGATAAATGGAAATGAACATCTTGACCATTACACTACGAGATACGTCAGTAGTGACGTTCGGCGTTAGAGTATCATTTACTGCAGATGGACCTTCTGGTAGGTGGAATGACAGATTGTGTGCAGGTGATCACACGCAAAGCACTTAACTTCAACATTCAGCCTCTCGAATCCTTCCCACATTATCTGAATTACAGATAATCTATAATAAGTTTAAATACTCGTAACTCAAAGACTATATAAGTTTGGCCAATTGTCTGGAAATCTAGAATACATCAACATGTGTCCACGCGCAGTGATCAGCGTGCTTGTGGTTTGTTTCTGTCTGGCCTCCACAGAAGGACGAGCATTCAAAGTAAGTGTACTTCAAGCCATATTAACCAAAGGTACACTGATTACCATGATTTGGTCTTTATCCGTGTTACTTCTGGCTTCAGTACTACTGTAGTTTCCTTCAACGTATCATACAATGACAAATTTATAACTCATAGAAATATACACATCATAGAAATATAGAAACCCGGGTGTTATTTCACTTCTTTTGAGTATACAGGTTTAGGTAGTCTAACCTTCATTACAGAATGAGACGCAAAATGACATAATTCACATTTATTTCATTATCAGTTTGAAAACGCTTTGGGGTGGGGAGGATAAATGATTTGGATCTGTTAAATCTTAGGTCTTTATCTGTGTTACTATTGGCTGTTGTACTACTGTAGTTTTCTTCAACGTATCATACAATGACAGATAATAACTGTTATAGAAATATAAAAATTCGGGTGTTAATTCACTTCTTTGTAATTCTTTATTACAGAATGAGACGCAAAATGACAAAATTCACATTTATTTCATAATTAGTTTCCAAATGCGTGTTTGGGGGAAATCATATTTTTAAAAAACATTTTTGAGCTGTTAAAACCTAGGTAGAATATATCTATTTACTTTCTGACAGAGTAATGTGATGAGGTCACAGTGAAATCACTATAAAAACTATCAACATCACCTATATCCTATTCTTCTCCAACAGAAGGAGAAGGCCAGGTTCAAGAGACAAGCTGGAGGCAGTGAGTATATCAATCAAACGCCTCCATAAGTGTATATATTCCAAACTGTTATATCATAGCATAAAGCTGATCGGGTGAAAATATACCTTATGCAGGAGGTACAAGAACACTGTATGGCATCAGATGGTCGGAAGCGGCAATTAAAACTTCAAATGCAGAGAAGCAGATGAAACATTAGTTAAAAGCTATATCTGTAGAACAGTTAAGAGTAATATCATTTTATAATCGACTTTGGCTTCCACATTTCAATGATGGTATGTCACAGAAACAAATTCATACAAAGGATATGATTTTATCAAATGACTAATGAAGTACGTCTGGGTATAGTTGCACGTGAACTAAGATCTCTGTCCAAACCAGGACACATATTGGTAATAATGATAATAATGACATTATGTTCTATTCATGAAATCTTCTATGATATTTAGGATGCGATGGGGGCTTCATTCAAGATGACGTTGGAGCGATAGATATTGGCTTTGGTCAGTACCAAAATAACGAAGACTGCTGCTTTGAGTTGCGTCCTTTTTTCGGTGGTTCTTTCACGGTCGAACTGGAGTTTAATGTCTTTGATATTGAGAATGGTCCTCGATGCAGTTATGACTCCATTACCTACAGAACAAGCAACGGTAATACCGAGATCGACTGTGGCACAAAGAATCCTGGATACACAAGATTTTGTAAGGAAGCTTATATTATCCTTTTATCTTGCAAAGTGTTAAAATCGATGTGACAACCATGACGTATCTGTGTCTTCAAGTATTCAAAAACACAATACTAATCCGTCTAAGTACCTTCACAAAGCCTAAAACAAAGTCCTAGTTTATATATAAAATATAATTCCAACAGACACCATGCACAGACAAGTCATTATGTCCTGAAAAACTGACCAGAGCAACATCCAGTGTAACTAGATATGTGGTATTATGTATTGGAATCAGCAACTTACATTATAATGCATGACTGTGCCATGCTGTTTTCACAGTCAACAGTACGGGCAGCTTCCAACTGTGTTTCCATAGTGACAGCTCTGTAGTTCGCGGTGGCATCAATGTCTACTATTACATATACCCAGGTGTGTATATAGTGTTTGTTTCATTAGTATAAATAAAGATTCCCAGTTCTACCTGTTTCTGGATGCGAAATCATATAATATTTTTGTTCTCATCGATACAATACACTTCTTTATCGGCATTAAACGCCATCACCGCTTACCCGTCCTGAAACGTTACAGACTCGCCTTCAATGAACTTCACCACCGCCTTCCCGTCCTACAACGAGACAACATCGCCAACACTGAACTTCACTCTACCCTACAACAACGCAACATCCTCTCCCAATGGAACTCGTAAATATTTCTTCTCTGCTAAATGATTTATAAGCTGTCTGCATCTACAATTTAAGTGCTTTATTTCCATCGTTTCTTTAAATTTGCGTTTGCTACAGAAAATGTTACATCTCCTTACAGTTCCAACGGGCAACATGACCGTGTCTCCATGCAGCAGGACCGCCGCACCAAGCTACACGACCGTCGCACCAGGCAACACAACTGTTGTACCCGGCAACACGACCGTCGCACCAGGCAACACGACCGACGCACCAGGAAACACCACCTTCGCACCAGGCAACACCACCTTCGCACCAGGCAACACGACCGCTGCACCAGGCAACATGACCGTCGCACCTGGCAATGCAACTGTCGCACCAGGCAACACAACCTTCGCACCAGGAAACACGACCGTCGCACCAGGCAACACAACCTTCGCACCAGGCAACACGACCGTCGCACCAGGCAACACCACCGTCGCACCTGGCAACACCACCGTCGCACCTGGCAACACGACCGCTGCACCAGGCAACACGACCGTCGCACCAGGCAACACGACCGTCGCACCTGGCAATGCAACTGTCGCACCAGGCAACACAACCTTCGCACCAGGAAACACGACGGTCGCACCAGACAACACCACCATTGCATCAGGCAACACGACCGTCGCACCAGGCAACACCACCTTCGCATCAGGCAACACCACCGTCGCACCAGGCAACACCACCGTCGCGACAGGCAACAGGACCATAACACAAGGTAACATGACAATCTCACCTTTCGACGAAACGGTTCCCTACAGCAACGTGAAGAGTAGTTTATAGTCATCTTAATATGCTGTTGCTGTTCAGAAGATTCATTGTTTATATATATATGGACCTTTGCTGGACACATGTGGCTATTCAGCAGATCTTCTAAACCCATTTGTTCACGCCTTATATTACATGTAGAAGCATTTCTTTCAGCAACAGAATTAAGAATAAGGGAGAAAATAGACATTGGGGTGCTGAAGCCTTCCTCTATATAATGATTTCTAAATCCATATGTTTTTGCATGTTCCAGCAATAGAGAAATAAGTTTTCCTTTGAACTTTAATTAGGGAGAAATTCTTTGTGAAAGCTCGAAATTATATGGTTCCAGAATTCCACTTTGACTTCCGTGGACATTGAAACGTATTTCGACTTCTACAATTATTTACAATTTCACAACGATTTCTGGACATATGACCCACACTTGTACTTTGTAAATACTTCCCTGAAGGTATTGACTTTTCATGTGGTATTTTTTCGAGGACACAAAGTCTTTAACATGGTCCTGCCTGTCCGTTGTCGGATTACATGTGCTAAGTAACCTTCATCTGGTCTTGCACAAGGGAAAACAAGGGACAAGGCATAGATTTGCCTGCAAAGTTGCCTTTTAGGAAGGTTTTCATTTCATTGTTCCGGAGAGACCGATACAAACGTCTGTATTGTGATGCAAATTCCCTTTGCAGCCTGCAACTACGATACCAATGCTCTTGAAGGCACAATAGAACTGGCAACCGATACTGATGGTTTCTACGCTAACAACGACGAGTGCCGGATTAATCTCCGTTCTCCTGCTTTACCCCACGTCACCACAATCAGCTTTACGCGTTTTGATGTTGAATATGCAAGAAACTGTCCTTATGACAGCCTCTCTGTGAGTCTTGGTAACAACACCGTCGACAGACTCTGTGGAAACAACAGAGGTCCCTTCGTGAAGCAATGTAAGCACATTGTAGGGGTATATACGTTATTATGTACAAAACTCACCACAGGAACACATGTACAACTGTCCACGTGTCTGATATCCAATTGAGATATCCATACTTTACATCAAACGATCAAACGATTAAACAAGAATAAGATTATATGTGACAGTGATTTGTATATTTTATCATAGACTCAAATGTATGACGTCTTTTGAATGTTATCCGCTGACGATTTCCATCCCCCAGACACAAGCGCCGAGCCACTCCTCGCCCTGACATTCACCAGTGATTACAGCGTCACCGGTCTTGGCTTCGCCTTCCATTACAAGACTGAAATAGGCAAGTAACGCATCACCGCATCACATCCTTTATCAGTGGTTATTTATAAAACATTTTTATCATTGCTTCATTGACATGAGACAATAGAAATGAACATAGATGGTTTTAGAATGAACAGTAACCTCACGTACTTTCTGGTCGATCTTATTGCGCCCAAAAGTCACCTCACTTATCTCCCTTGTGATGTTTGTCGTCTGTTTATGCGTCTGAGTCTCTGTGTATGCATCTGAATATACTTTTTATATCTTCACCAAAAGTTCCATCTACATTTCAAATAAAATAATAATTCTTACATGCACAATCAAATACCTTATACCTGAATATTTCTTTTTTTCCTTTTTGCAGTGGCATAGACAGGCTGACCTACTCATCCAGATCCATTAGACAACACTGCGTGTAAATAAACTCATTGTACTCAATACCTGTTTCACTGAATGTGTCACACGGCTATAAATGTCACTTTGAACATAACGTGTCATATGGGTGAGACGTACATGCTTCGTAATTCCCTGTCAAGAGATGTTTCCCTTGGGTGCACCAGAGAACTTTGATCTTGGGTTCAGAGAGTCACCCTGGTTATGTTCCTAGGTTTGTCAGCTTCCTACCCTGCCATGGGTTTCAACACGGTACTCAATGGCAAAGAGCTTCATCAATGTTTAACCCGTGAAGGTCCGGGCTAGAATGAACCTTCAGTAACCCATGCTTGTCGTAGGAGGCGACGTACGGGATCGGGTGGTCAGGCTCGCTGACTTGGTTGACACATGTCATCGTATCCAAATTGCGCAGATCGATGCTCATGCTGTTGATCACTAGATTGTCTGGATTATTTACAGACCGTCGCCATATAGCTGGAATATTGCTGAGTGTGGCCTAAAACTAAACTCACTCACTCACTCACTCATCAATGTGTTATTTCTGCACCCATTAACACCACGCGCCATGAAAAGGATGACATATTGTTTAAAACGACATTAAAACCAACTGAAATGAAGAATTGTGAAGAATTAATACAATCTGCGATTAAAGGCACAATTTCACACATTTTCGACAATATTTAGGCCTATGTCATACATATTTCGGGCATATGCACTCACTTTAGCTTCCTATTGATGCAGAAAAAGACTTATTATCCATTACGACTTGCCTGAAATCGATAACTGAAACTTCGAGGCGAACAGATTCCAAACAGAGAATACATTCCATATATGGCAAGTGTTCTTTGTTTGGAAGCTGGTCGCCTTCGAAACAATTGCTCCCTACATCGAAAACTATTGCACGCCGTGTTGTCGGTGTTTGCTTAACTGGTTTAAATCAGACGCTGCGCTCATGTTTTTGCTCCATATATTAGGCCATTTTGTTCTCGGACTGAAGTCTGTCTCCAAAAGGAGTTATGGGATATTCGTAAAGAGCGCTCCGGGGGGACATAACTCTATGAGGTTCGCTTGAAATTAGGTTCGGGTGGTAGAGGACACGAGAGTCGATTTAATGCAACGTTGCATTAATTCAATTTAATGTTGTTCTCTAATACGTAATTGCTTTCTGGAATAGATTATATGGTAGCTTCCCCGAAGGCTGATAGCGTGGTGTGAAATAGTGCCTTTAAGCATCATACGAAAATAAATGCGCTCCCACCACAGCAAGGCATCCGTGAAGGACATGTCCGATGATGAACGATAATGACGAACGGCAAGAGTCCAGCTACGTTTTCCTTCTTTATTCACATCTGCTGCCAGTGAAACAAGAAAGTTTCTCTTTGTAATCTACTACACTGGAGATGCCTTTCTTGTAGGCAAGATGTAGAAGCATCGTCATACCACCAGGATCCACATCGTTCACGTCGTAGCAATGACGAAGACATATTGTCAGACATGACAAGGAGCCGTCGGCAAGTAGATCATGTACTAATAGATGCAGCTGCTGGTGGGTGTGCTCTGTATCTGAAGGTGTCATACCGGGTAACAAATATACTGTACAAAATAAATTAGGGATCATGGGTTGTTTCCGTGATTCCAAATTTACATTCGCGCATACATTGAAGAGAATCTGAAACATCAACGCTGATAACATTTTTCATCAATATTTTAATGAGAAATGTCGATTCCATTCAGTGATTCTTTAGCCATATTGCACAAAACAGCATGTCGCAGAGTGGCGTGAAAAAATCTGATACACAAGATGAATTTAACATTAAAGAACATGTGCAAATCCGATGTAAAGTCTCATCAATACAGGGTATGACCATACTCATGATGAGATCGACAATGGTCTTTTGTGTGAGATTATTCCATTCCTGTCTCAGTGCGTTCTCAAGATCATCCAGAGTCTGTGGTTGGTTTGAAAGCTGTGAAAGTCGGTGCTGGAGTTGGTCCCATACATGTTCCATTGGATTCAGGTCCGATGAGAGGTCAGTCCACACCATTCGCTCGATAGTTTCCCTTTGCAGGTACCCCTCAACCACACGAGCACGATGATGACGAGCGTTATCGTTCATCAGAATAAAGTCTGGTGCAACGGCACTTGCGAACAGCCTTACAACTGGAGAATTTCATCCCTGTATCGGATAGCATTTACCATTGAAATTACATCAAGCAATTGCTCTTAAACCAACGCAATTAATTCTCCTAAATGTGGCTTATGCGTTTCTTTTTTTAAAAGTATAGTTATGTATGTATGTGAAAATAAATTGCGATATTATGGCAATTATCGACCAAGTACTAATATTGGTAAACAACAACCCAGGTGAAATCTACCGTTGCCAAGCTGGCCACGTACACATTGTTTCTCAAGATAAACAGAGCTTGCGGCTGTCTCTTACATAATATAAAATGTTTTGATATATTTATGAACTCATTCACATCCGATTGCACTTTTCAGTTTGTGATAATTTACAAGTAAAATCTACACATACTTTATTGAATAACGTCGTAATAATAGCAACCCATGCTTGTTAGAGCGACTAACGGATCGGATGGTCGGACTCCCTGACTTGGTTGATGCTGTCATTGTATCCCACTTGCATACATCGATGGTCATGGTCTCAATCACTTGATTGACTGGTCTACATTCTTTTACAGATCGCCGCCACATAGCCGGAAAAGTGATGTTCTTTTCATCTGTACAGGATTATATGTATGAACTAACATGGCGGTTAGTCAATGAGGAATAGATCGGGTTATTCTGTAACCGGTTTGATAGAAGGCAGCCCACTCAAGTAAAGATTTCTACTGGTCTGTCAACATTTAACAAATCTGCGCAGCCAATCCTCACAGTCGACCTGTGTGTGAAATCAATATGGCCGGTGCAAGTAATCAACATTACCTGAAACAGCTGTCTCAAATGAAATCGTTACTGTGTGGTATAATCCATGTTCACAAGAACTCGCTGAGTTGCTGGACACCCTACATATTGATTTGGGCACCCTATTGAATTTTCAAATACCTGGACATTATATCAAAACACACACGGATGTGAACGTCCCAGTGGCAACAAAGACATCAGAGTGCATGTTCAGAAATTTAACATAGCTCTCCCACCGCAGCTGTATAATAGGATTAATAGACCTCCTAGCTCCCACCGCACTGTACAGGTCCCCGAAGCGATTTGGTTTCCATTTTGTTTAAATCTCGACCCCGAGATATTTGAAATCCTGTCTTTCAGGCTATTACACTTGGAAATGTTCAAATGTATCTTTGAATACTATGAACCACAGAGAAACTCTATATTTCCATATACATCCTATCCGTTTTCATGTATTATATTCTGACGAAACATTTGCATGTAACTTCCTTGAGTTGCATTTACAACTTGGTGTGATGAACAAGGGGATAGGGGACATACAACTTCTGGTGTTAGCAGCTACACCGAAACGGCTCTCACATTAATAATAAAGACGTTGTATTCCATAGAACTCTTCCCGTTGTACATTCACATTTGTTCACAGAGTAACACATTCAAAATTATTGGATTAACTTAGAAATGTACAGATACTTATTATACAAAATTGCTGATTAACTTAGTAATGTACAGATACTTATTTATAAATGTATAGAATGTAAACTAATTGCAGTGTATACATAGAAATCATGGTTTAACCGTGGGAACAGTGGGTTATTGTCTATTGTTTTATCAACCATGCATCCGGGTACACACCCTGATCCCTGTTTATTGCTGGTTTTATACGTTTGATGAAGATAGTTTCAATCAACTTACGTTTTCGCCAGTCACTAATGTTTTTTGCGAGGACTTCAGTTTCCCAGTCAATTTCATGATTGGGATTATTCATAATGTGTTGAGAAACTGCAGATTTCAGATCCGATTTTTCGACTGAAGTTTTGTGTTCTTTCACACGTGTAGCTACTGGTCTGCCTGTCTCACCAATGTAGATGTCACCACAGTCACATTTTAGTTTATGTACACAGCCTCTTGGGTTGGAGATTGCCTGATTCCACCCCTTACTATTTGCACGTAACAAAGTTTTGCGGGTTTTGCCAGACGAGAAGGTTGTGTCTGTTGGCTGATGGGCCCAACATATGGGGTATTGATGCGGATGAGAGATGGTTCAGGTTTCGGAGGACGCTGAACTTGATCTTGTAGTGTTTTCTTTATAGTGGTTTCTACAAGGTTCTTAGGACAACCATTGTATTTGATGAATGTTGTCTTCAGGTGGTCTACTTCTTGTTGCAGTAGGTCAGGGCTACAGATTGTGTTTGTGCGTCTCGCAAGTGTGGCAGCAATTGCTCTCTTGATTTGGGGATGGTGGTGTGAGAGGTGTTGAATATATTGGTCTGTGTAGGTAGGTTTGCGATAGACCGACGTGGTGAGCTGGTTGTTTGAGTTGTCAATGGCGATGTCCAAGAAAGGGAGTTTGTTCTGCTGCTCTGTTTCCATCGTAAACGTAATTCTAGGGTGTTGATTGTTCCAATGATTTTGCAGTAAACAATATTTTTATATATTCATGATAACATGTATTAATATTAGCCCTGTTAGCTCTATCCATTATGACCTCCATTATGACCTCCACATGTATTGCGTCGCCATAGCATTGTGACGTCATAAGCATTGTGACATCACGGGCAGAGTTAACAGTTACTATTCTTTAGCTCTACCTGATGATGGGGCCAGAACAAGCCCTGAAACGCTGTACCAAACAATGAAAAGATGAAACCCAGAAAATTGTCCATACATGTAGCTTGCTGTTTAACGCTACAGTTGTTTTCATCAGGTATTTATAGTATCTTAGACACTGACAACATTTGTATCACTGACATAGGTACATATTTCAACAACACGTGGTGAGTCAAAATAATGGAAAATATAATATTAGCAATGCTAAGCTGCTTCATGTCAGTAAAGTTTAAGCGATATTACTTTGTCTATTTACCAACGATTCCTTTATCTGGATATCAGTCTTCAGGACCATTAAACTGGGAACGTCACAGTCGGAGATTTTATTACAATTCTGTTTTGCCTTTGTTATTTTCATTTTGCAATGGGTCAGTGGCCTCGTAACCTTTTGACTATGGCCAATATATACACAGTAAGCGCCTTCTGTTCAGATTCCGAATTCCACTAACAAATATATTACTATACGTTTGCTCAGGGTCATCATTTTGAAATGTATTTACGTCAAGTTGTTGCATGAAGATAATTTTATTGAACAAATATCCTTTTGAAGCCCATATATGATCCACGTGATGCGATCACGGCCTGGCACCATCGTCCCATGCTACCAGTGTCTGGATCGTTGCCAAGGCATGACTGTTCCTCTCTTTAGGAAGAGCTTTGCCGAGTTCCTGTCGAGTTGTGAGAAGGACACGGCGTCGGGAATGGCGATCTATAGCTCGTTTCACAAGTGTTCAGTAGGCGTGATGGAGGTGGTCAATCAATGCAAACATGATCTGTTCAAAGGAAGCATTAACGACTCTGGCACGTCCCTAACATTTCGGTCCGAAAATGACCAAATCTTTACAGCTTTTTTTTCTTTGTCAGAAAGTCATGTTTTTCTTTTTGTGTATTAGATAGTACTTTTGGATGAGGCCAGCGATTTCATTTATTCTAAGACATGCCAAAATGAACCTTATTTCGCAGTCAGAAACATGGGAATACGAGTGGTTGTAGAAATCATGTTTTCAGATGCACAAAACGTGTTATGAGTCGTCCTTTTGTATTGTTGACTATCCAGATTTAGTCGAGTTTTCGTCTTCAGTGGTATTCAGGAGTTCTTTGTGTGGCGACCCCGGTGTGTCTGCGTCCTGAGCCCTGTACTTTGTGAGGTCACCGTAACCAGGATCCTGGGCCCGGTTACATCACAAAAGCGATCTTAGCGGTAAGGAGATCGTATCTTTCATCCCTTAACATAGGCGTACGAGCATCACTCTTGGGAACATGTATCCTTCTGTATTCGGTTTTCGGTCATGTAAGGATTGTCGACCGAAATAAAATATGAATAAATCGATAATACACAAACCTACCTCGTTTGTTTGTTATTTATTTATGGTTTTCAAATATCTGACGGATTGACCTCGTGTTTCACCCGCACAGCAGGCCTGATAGTTCGCTACGCAAAGATCGTGAATGCGGAAGTGACGTCATCTGTTTTCGTTCACTTCATTGGTTCTCCGTAAAACAAAAATCTAATCGTGCTATGCTGATATTTTTATAATATAAAGTTGATAAACATCAAGTCCAAAAAGAATATTTGTAATAGTTCCAATAATAATTATTAGAAACTATGGTCGTAATAATTTCATATCAAAGTTAATCATGATAAGACTTTGCTAGTTACATCACATGTCCAGGCATGTTTCACTCCTGCAGTTCGCGCTGACAAGGGCACCAAAACTCATCAGAAGTTCTCACTACACATACGGAGGTGCACAGCTTGAGGTGGACCCAATAACGGCATGCAGGATGAGTACACTGGGCCCATGACACAGAAATATTCATTGCAGTTTCGAAAATTAAATGAGTATTTTGGAAAATCGTAATAAGAGATGACCCTATCCAGTTTCCAAATATTTTTTTACGACGGCAACGCCACGTGATATGTATTGTGATAATGATACGTCATACCATAAACAAGCAGACGACACTATACTGAAAAGGTTGGAGCTGACAATATTTTAGATATAGCATTTTGATTACATGAAAATTTATGCATAAGTAAACTAGGTTCTAAAACGTAACATTTACATGTGTTTGCAATCATGTACCTTACTTTCACACGAAGCATGTTGTTAGTCAGAGCTGAAGCAGTCGACCTCCGGCTAAAAATAACCGGTCTGGTGACGTAATATCTCGCTAATAACCGCGAGAAATGAACACGCAAAAAGGCCGACCGAAAACAGATGTTGAACGAAAAAGATGACTCGAGGATACTTGTTTGCAGTGTACGTAACCTAGACTTCTGACTCTAGTGTAGGGCGGCCGTGATATTGCTGGAATAATACTAAACGAAACGTGATATTGTTGGAATATTGCTAATGTTGGAAATGTTCTTAAAATAAAGCCAAATAAAACAAATTACGTATCTGACATTCATGTTTTCCACTATATCGCTGGACCAATATGTTTTACAATTACTAGTTCAGAATGATGTGCACTGACTACTGTGCTGTGAAGCAATTTACCTGCATTCTGAACTTTTACTTCTTACACAAACCTATAAAAACATGAAATTGTCGGTAACCATCTGTTGTTTTTATGGAACCTTTAACCTGGAATCTGAGAATCTATTAACGTACATTCATTAATTGTTATTATGTTTAATGACAAATCAGCGGCATAGTTGATACCAGAATAGTTTAGATTTATTCAGAAGCTATATTAAGAAATCATGAAATATGAAATATTCTTTGTAAACATTTCTCAAATGCCCAGCCTGAAAGCACCATTATAACGGCAGTGCAACAATCAGGTGGATCTTGTTACAACATTAGTACATATACGTCAAGAGGAAGATGTGACATTGGTGCGTTTGTCATTCTGTCAAGCCATCAGTAATACACTGCACTAGGTGTTGTAATCTGCTGACATGCCATGTATAAACAGCCAGTGTTGTAGAACCGAGTAGACAACAACGCATACGTGTTTGTTACTGCATGGTGCCCACATGCTGTCATGTTGTTGTTGCTCACATGTAGCATCTGTGTGACTGCTTCATCGCTATGTGGATATCGTCATTTCAACTATATGTGATCTGCTTCTTACTTCGCAGCTATGTTCAGTTGTTGACGATCTATAGCCCGTGATTTATATTGTATTGTCTGCTTTAGTTAAAATGTTTTAGCTTTCCATGCTAGTTATATATCCATATCTGTGATGCTCTAGTTATTTTACAATTCGTCGATGACTGGTTATTTACCTACTTGTATTTACTGTGTATGTCCAACATTTCTCGTCACTATATGGCTGAAATATTGCCGAGGTGTCGTTAAATGTTAACTCACTCACTCACTCGCAGCTGTGTGGGACATAATTGGGGTTCATATCATTAACTCAAACCAACCAAAGGGTCCTTTACGGTAATCATGTGTGTATATCATATAACTATGTACAATAAACATGATATCTTATGTGATACAAAATCAATGTTTCCGAACGGTTAACAACAGCTATTGGTCAGGAAGCCTACTCAGGTTAAATTGCCTGTTTATTGATTTTTGTATAGAAAGTTGTATGCCTGATTATACCTGATCATGAGCGTGTTATCGATAAGCACACGTGTTGATGTGTGACAGATGTCTGAACCAGAGGGTGACGCTGAGAAATTGAACAAATCAGTCAAGAAATATATGCCAATGTGAACGGTCCAGTCAACCACATGAAAAGCAGTGAGAATGACTATACTATTTGTCAGTGCTCGTCATTCTGAACCAGTAATCCTTACACATATTGGTCCAACGGTATGGTTGAAAATATGAAATGTCAGATGCTTATGTATACGTTGTTTTATTTGGCTTATTTGGAGACTATCTGGAATATACAAACTATGAAAAATAGGCACAAAAGTGCGACATCGTTTCACTGTTAACGCCTGTACCTTGATGACGGTGTTTCACTGTTAACGCCCTTACCTTGATGACGGTGTTTTACTGTTAACGCCTGTACCTTGATGACGGTGTTTCACTGTTAACGCCTGTCCCTTGATGACGGTGTTTCACTGTTAACGCCTGTCCCTTGATGACGGTGTTTCACTGTTAACGCCTGTACCTTGATGACGGTGTTTCACTGTTAACGCCTGGCCCCTGATGACGGTGTAAGAATCTACCTACATCAAAACGTCTCTCTATTCAATAAACAAAAATCTGTCATCAATAACGTCGTATGCTTAATATTTTCTCGCCAATTTTAGAAAGGCTATTAAACCATCAGTTAGCCGTCCTAAATGTATCTATATTCAGAACACTTGTCACTGCAATTTTCATGATACATTTCCTATGGTCCGTAACATGTTTGCCTTAGTGCTTAATAACAGCTGAACGTCTTGATGGTCCGGCTCCAACAGTTTGACCGTTGCAGCAATTTACACGACCGATCTTGTTGATCCTGACAGACAAACAGTCTAATATGTATTCTGTAACTAAACTTACGCTGTGTCCGAACTATCAGGAACCCAACTGAAGGTAATTCCGCACTAACGAGTCCAAGAGTTACAGTGATACACGACCCATTAACCCCACTTAAAGGTCACCTTGTCTTCCTAAACAGTACACACAGAAAGACCAATTAAACAGCAAAGTGCACAACTCGAGTTGTTTCCTTGACAATTATGTTTGACATTTTACCATTTCGTTTGACTTTTGCGTTTACACAGAACTGCCAGTGCTGTACATGTGTTCACGTTAGCTGCCATCCTCAGAGGGCATTTTCTTAATCAGTGCGCCAGG